CTAGTTCAACAACAACAACAACAATAACAATAATAATAATAATAATAATAAATTCAGAGATCTTTAGTAAAGGATGGAACATATACATAATCTACAGGACTACAGCAGCTGGAAAGGAGACATATCTAGTCAAATAGCTACAGGAAATTTACAGCTGTGGAGAGGGAGAATCAGTCTTCTCCAGGATGGACCCCTGATAGGTTATCCAATCTCAAGTAGTCACACATAAACATTGCACAAGAGCAACCCTAAAGGGACTCAGCAAGTTATATTTATAAATTTATATACATGTCATAATAATAACTGAAGAATAATGGGCCATTAATATGAGAGTGGAGACACGGGAGGAGTTAGGGGGAAAGAAGGGAGACTTGATATAAATACATTACTCAATAAGAAATTCTCAAAACTTGAAAATATTTACATGAATAATTTGAATAATATATAATAAATAGCAATGAATTATTGTCAATTATGGTTACCCTGCCGTTCTGTAGAACACTGAATTTATTCCCTTTTCTGTGTCTTACTACCCATTATCAGACCGTGTTCCTTCTCCCTCACTCTTCCTCACCGCCAGCACCTAGCCTTCTAGTCATCTAAGAAATCAGCTCATTAAAGCTCCAACTGTAAAGGGAAAATGTGGCATCTGTCTTTCTATGCTTGGCTTTTCAGTTTGAATAATGTCATCTAGTTCTACCTATGCCGTTGTGAATGGCAGGTTTCATTCCTCTTCCTCCTTCTCCTCTTCCCTCCTTTTTTTTTTCAACACCCGGGAAATGACTTAATTTTTTTCAGTTAACATAACCAGCCTACAACACAGCATGTGAAATCACAAAGCACAAATTCAAAGAAAAGAATGACTTTTTAAAAATCACAAAACTTTGGCAAATCAATACACCATTAATACAATAACATGCTATTTTTGCTGGAGTCATAAATTGCCTTAGTGCTAATTTTCACTCCAAAATATCATTTAAGTACCAAATCCAAACACCAGTTCTCAGGAGAACAGGCTTATACTAATTTACGTCATGTGAATATACAATTTCCCTTTTGTAAAAAGAGTTCCTCTTGTAGGCCATTCTAGTTCAGAGTGGCAGGCAATTGTTTTGACCCAAGGGCAGCTGGATTTTGTTCTGGTTGATCCACAGCCTGGTAGTGTTCCAGTTAATATTCTACCTAAGGAGACTCAGGATCAATAGCAATTTCTTTTAAGTACTTAAAAACAAAAAACAAAACAAAACAAAAATAACACCCTGTTAATTGTTCACATGAACACAAGGCTCTCCCAATCTCAAGCCTTTCTCACCTCAGATGATCCCTTTGATTTTTGAAGCTCTGGATATTCTGCTTTGACCAAAAGTCACAGTCTAATCTCAGCTCATTAAAAAATAAAACAAGAACTTGTGACAATGAGTTCAAGGATATTTCCTACTTTCTCTTCTATCAGGTTCAGTTTAACTGGATTTATTTTGAGGTCTCTGATCCACTTGAACTTGAGTTTGTGCAGGGCAATAGATACAGATCTATTTGTATTCTTCTGCATGCCAACATCCAATTAGGCCAGCACCATTTGTTGAAGATGCTCTACTTTTTCCAGTGTACAATTTTAACTTCTTTGTCCTAGGTGTGTGAATTTATGTCAGGGTCTTCAATTCTATTCCATTGATCCACCTGTCTGTTTTTATGCCAATACCATGCTGTTTTTATTACTATAGCTTTATAGTAGAGCTTGAAATCAGGGGTGGTGACGCCTCCAGAAGTTCCTTTATTATGCAGGATTGTTTTAGCTATCATGGCTTTTTGTTTTTCCATGTGAAGTTGAGTATTGTTCTTTCAAGTTCTGTAAAGAATTTTGTTGGAATTTTGATGGGTACTACATTGAATCTGTTGATGGATTTTGGTAGGATGGCCATTTTTACTATGTTAACCCTATTGATCCATGAGCATGGGAGATCTTTCCAGATCAATTTTTTTCATCAAAGATTTGAAGTTCTTGGAATACAGATCTTTTGCTTGCTTGCTTAGAGTTACCTCAAGATATTTATATTATTTGTGACTATCATGAAGGGTGAACTATGTTCATAGTAGCACTATTCATCATAATAGGCAAAACCTGGAAACAACCTAGATGCCTTTCAACTGAAGAATAGATATTATGGTACATTTACACAGTGGAGTAATACTCAGCTGTTAAAAACACTGACATTAGGAATTTTGAAGGAATATGCATGGAACTAGAAAAAATCATCCTAAGTGAGGTTACACAGACCCAGGAAGACAGACATCATATGTGCTTACTTATAGGTGGATATTAGCTGTAAATATGATACAACCCACAGTCCCAGAAAGATAACAAGGAAGACCCAAAGGAGAATGTATTATTCTGCTGGGAAGGGGAAATAGAAGAGATCTCCCGGACAGACTTGGAGTAAATGGGGTTAGGGATGGATGGAGAGGGAGAATATGAAAGAGATGCCTTGATATGGAGGGCATTTGGAGTCAGGTAGAAACCTGGTACAAGGGAAATCACACGAACCTACAAGGATGACTGCAACTATAAAGAATAGGTAGTCTGCACTGGCCACCTCCTGATGGAAACAGATGCAGAGACTCGCAGTCAAGCACTAAGCCAAACCACAGAAACAACCAACTTGGGCTCATAGGAGCTCACAGACACTGGACTGACAGTGAGGGAGTCTGCCTGAGACTGATTCAACTCTCTACATAGGTGTGACAGTTGTGCAGCTTGGTCCACTTGTGGGATTACTAGAAGTAGGAGAAGAGCCTATCACTAACACTTTGGCTGGCTTTGGGGAACCTATTCCTCATGCTGGGTTGCCTTGCCCAGCCTTAATTCAAGAACAGGAACTTAGTCCTAACTCAACATGATATGGCACATCTTGCTGATACCCATGGGAAGCCTGCTTCTTTCTGAACAGAAACAAAGGAGGACAGATGTGGAGAGGTGAGGGAAGGAAATGGGATGAGAAGAGGGAAGGAAAACTGTGATTAAGGTGCTTAATAACTGAATAAATTTAATGAAAAATTAAAATCTACCTGAAATAGTTGTATCTTTTAAAAACTAAATGTGAAGTCCTGAGGGGGCCCATTGCTACATACCAATTCCCTTTGTCATTTCTCCACCAATGCCACCAATGCTGCCTTTGGTATTCTTTTTTATTTAATTTAAAAATAATCTTATTTTACACACCAATCCCAGTTGCCTCCCACTCCCAATCTCCCATTTCCCTCACCATCTCCCCATCTCACCCCCCATCCACTTCTCAGGGAGGTTGAGGCCTCCCATGGGGGAATCATCAAAGTCTGCCACAGCATTTGGGGCAAGACCGAGACCCTCTCTCCTGTGTCTAGACTGAAAGAGTATCTCTCCATAGGGAATAGGCTTCAAAAATCCATTTGTGCACTGCCAGTGGACCCATAGACTGCCTAGGGCCCCCAACTGACACCCACGTTCAGAGGACCTGGTTCAGTCTTATGCTGGTTCCTTAGCTGTCAGACTGGGGTCCATGAGCTCCCACTAGCTCAGGACAACTGTTTCTATGGATTTCCAAGCACAGTCTTGACCCCTTTGTTCACCACTCTTTCCTCTCTACAACTGGATTCCAGGAGTTCAGCTCAGTCCTTAGCTATGGGTGTCTGCTTCTGTTTCCATCAGCTACTGGATAAAGGCTCTAGGATGTCGTTGAAGGTAGTTAGGAGTCTCAGCCTTTGGTGTTCTTAAGCTTCCTCTTCCTGGTGCTGTCAATTCTTCAGTCTTGGTGTACAGTTCATGCATTACCCATTCCATTGCTACTCAGAAATTATTAGCATTGGAAGATGTGGTACTTGTCATTAACCCTTCAAGGTGGCTACTGAGGCTGACCCCTTTCATGGTGATGGTGGCTTCCTAGGTCAGTACAATTTTCTCTGGGTCCTAGGGGAACAGCTTGTATGTGTTAGTGGACTTGAACACCATTGTCTTCTTTATGCTCTTGCATATGTTTTCATTCCTGCTGCACCAATAAGAGACTTCACAATGGGAGGCAGGTCCCACTCTGAGCTGAGGAGTCTGTGGTTATGCAACTTTCCCAAAGGTTCAACATACCTGTTGTATGTTCATGCACATGTATAGTTTCTTCATCTGTTCACCCATTGATAGACACATGATCCATCATCAAATTCTGTCATTTCTATCTTCAAAATCCATCTAAAATTCAGCTCCTTTCATTAACCTCACTCAAGTTATAGTTGTTTCCACTAACACTAAAGCCCTATGTCATAGAACTTCCCTGTTCAAACTATCTCATGTATCCTTGTTTCAATTTTGGAAAGGGGTCAGGTTTTATCATGGTCATGTGATCTCTTCAATATTAGTTTTTTATCTTATCTCATTGTATCTCTCTTGCTTATTAGGCTTTGTCCATAAATGATCTCTTACTGTTCCTCCAATATATCAAGTATGCACTACAAACTGGCCAAGAATACACCAGCCTCAATCCCTGGAATCTATTTGTGTGATTCGGTTTTGTTCTTGTTTTACTTGGCTGAGGTTGGACCCAGAGCCAGCCCATGCTATGCAAGTGTTCCACCACTGAGCTGTATCTGCAGGAAAGCCACTGTAGACATGATTCTGTTTACAAATACAGACACGGAGAGATACCTAGGTGATCTAATGAAACTTAGATATTATTGCACAGGCTCTGTAAACAGAGAGGCAGAGACCATGTGACACAAAGAGGGAGAAGATAATGAAAAGATAGAGCACAGAGATATTTGAAGATTCTAGACTAGATAGGGATGCTGTGGCCATAAGCCAAGGAATTCTGCAGCTAATAGAAGCTGACAGAAGCTGGGGCTCTTTGATATTCAATCCCACGTTTGTCCTGGCCAGCCCACTGTTTTCAGACAGACCCTGAATTTGATAGAACCCATTGTGTGTCACATGTTATGAAAGTGCTCTGTCACTAAGCCATACCTCTAGTCCTGACTTTCTGGTTTCAACGAGTTTATTGTCACTTGACAGCAGCTATAGGAAACTCATACCAACATCTCTTCCTAGCATTTTCTCTTCCTAGCAGTTCCCCATACCAGATATCAGCAATGCTGCTTCTCTAACTCCTTCAAGTCTTTGATCAAATGCAATTGCAGAAAGGCATCCCCTATGACCCTATGTAAAACTGACACATGCACTCATGTATATACACACATTCTTGCAATCACCATCTCCATTCCTTTTCCTGTGATTATTACTTTCTAACATTCTACGTATTTTTGCAGCTTCCCACTCCTAACATGTCACCTTCAGATGAACAGATATATTTTTCTCTTGTAGTTATTCTCTATTGCACACATATAAAACAGTACCTTTTATGGGGCAAAAACCTGATAACTACTTATTAGACAAGTTTGATTTACTTGAGCTATTTACAGCAGTTCTCTGGGAGCAATAATTGTTGTCTGGTTTGGCATTTGTCATCTATTTTTAACAGTGCACACAAATGGTCAGTCACAAATACTCTGGTCTAATCTTGCATAAAGGTCAGATCTGGGACTGAATAGGCTAAAAGCACAAGCTGTCCTTGTGGAGGATTCAAGTTCAGTTCCCAGCACCCAAACCAGGTGGCTCACAATAGTCTGTACTCCAGCTCCAGAGGATCTGACACCCTTCTCAGGAGCCTTCATTCTTGTGCACAAGCTCCCACACAGGCGCACGTGCGTGCACTCGTGTACGTGCACACACACACACACACACACACACACACACACACACACACCCCTACGTTGAGAATAAGTAATTGTTTTAAAGGTCAGATAAAGAATCAAGCCCTAAGAGCTAACAGTGCCACACAATAGCACTACAGTTCAGGGAGCAGTCCCCTAGGGAATGTTATAAGGTATCTTCTGGGCTTCACAAGACACACCTTTGGGGCAGCATCCAGGTGTCAGCATTATTTTAGAAAATAAAAATTAAGTAGCCGGATACAGGAGCTACCTCAGATGTTTTTTTACCCATATACATGAAAACGTGAGAAAGAGATGCTATTGCATTTTGTTGTATTTTTGCAATCGACACAAATGTTTTCCAGCATTGGGTGTCAGCCACTAATTACTTTTCCATTCCCTAAAACGGTCACAGCTGTTGTTATGCCACACCTGTCACTGGATAAGATCATGTTGAGAGCTGTCAAATTTTATGCTGTCCATCAAACGTGTTGACATTCCACGTCAGCAGAGGCCAAGATTCTACTTACTGTGGAGAGGGCCTCTCCAGATTCCTCTAAATCATACTGCTACCTTACTTACATTTAGAGGGAGCACTATTACTATTTTTCTTTGTTCTGCTTACTTTTGTTTTGATAAAAGAAATGAGTGATTTACTTGTATTTTTGTGTTTAAATGAAAGCAAACTTACTGCATAGTGACCTATTTTGCTTGAACTGTGATCTGGGACACAGTTGGCACACTTTTTGCTTGAACCCCACTAACCACTCATGCTTCTGGTCTATAGGGATGATGTGGAGGTGTCTCCTTTCGATTTGTTTGCTTGTTTGTTTTTAATTACATAAATGTGCTTGTTTCCTGTGAATGCTGGTGCTGTGAAGAACAGAGGCCTTGGACCCTACTGAAGTTGGGATTGTAGGCATTTGGGAGCCTCTCTTCCTGGGTTCTAACAACTGAACTTAGGTCCTCTGCATGAAGAATTTAACGTAACCACCAGGTTCTCTCTCCACCGTCCGTTTGAGAGTTTATATGTTCCAGATTTTTCCTCAGTTTTGGACAAGCATTCTCTTAGTGGAGAGTGGATGAGGTTAGTCATGGACTGAGTTGAGAAACTGACTTCTGGCATGAGATGGTATTAACCTGGCCATTCGACCACACTCAGCTGTCAGTTCAGGCACTGGCATATTCAGATGTCATCTTCAGATCTAAAGGGCAGCTGCATTCTGTTTTGAAGCCAGTATTTAATAAACAGCAGACTCATCAATGGATTGATATAAAAAGACTCTACAGTTACCTATCCCTGTCTTGGGAGCTTTTGTCTGTGGAACTCAAAGGAGAAAAAAAGCAGATTTTAAACAAAACAACTGACACATATTGTATGTACTGCGAAGTATGGTCAGTGTTTGATGTACATGATCCTTTTAGTACTTTGAGGTCAGTATTATTATCTGCATTTTGCCATGGGAGAGACTGAGGAATAGCTCCACTGAATTGCTACAGAGCAATTAAGTCACTTACTTGGCTTGCTCAAGGGACCCACAAGCATTTTGTCAAAAACTCCAGTCTAGGCCTGCCTGACTTCACATTTATTATTTAGCCAATTCCATGGCTAAATTTCCTTGCTACAGTGTAAATTTAATCAAAGAATCTGAGGTCTCAAAATGTTTCTCCTGAAAGAGAGAGATTTTCCTGCAAATTGAGAAGAAGATTCGTTCTTCTTTACTCAGTCTGGGTTTCAACACCAGAGAAACGCCATGTGTCTGGGAACTCTGAGGAGGAAGTGGGTCTTTTAAGAAAAAACAGACCATGGCTATAAAGAGTCGAATGGCTAACATCTGGACAGCTTGTGATCGAGCTGAGAAGGCTGCTGTGTGAATTACAAAGGTATGACAAATGTTTGACTCTGTTCTAATTTGGCTCAGCCTGCCTCCCTTAAGATTTTGGCACAGGTTCTCCCATTTGGACTAAACGCCCTTTCATGAGTTGGTCTTCTGCGAAGGGTTATCACGCACGTTTTCTGTTTCATTTTCCACTTCACTTTGTTTATGTGCTGCTTGGGAGGGATCTGGTCATCTTTGATGACTCCTGGCATCATATTCTCGACTCTGCGCACGGAGAGCCCCTGAGTATAAGCATTTACAGTTACACAATGATTGTTACTGGGGTGTCTGGCTCCCAGGGATTCCTACCGGAGTGCGGACCTCTTAAGAAACCTCAGGGGCTCTGGTTCTTGCTGAGGGTTTTGCTCTCTGCTGCCTCTTGACCAGAAGCTTCCCTGATGCTCACACGTTGACATCTGTACCAATTCCCATTAACAATCCAAGGTGCCATGTCTGACTTTTCCATCTTTACCAAACTTTTAAAATACTTTGATTCAGTCTCTACTTAGGAAAGGGTCTCATGCTACAACGTGACATGAAACTAACTGCAGAGTAAGAAGATGCTGTCACAGATTCAGGGTCAGATAGCACCCTGAGTTTTGTGTTATCACACAGAACTGAGGAAAAGTGAGATGATCTCTGGACTACAAAGCAGCAGTTCTCAACTTGGGGTCTCAGCCTCTTGGGACGAATGATCCCTTCACAGGAGTCACCTAAGAATATACAGAAAAACACATATATTTACATTATAATTCATAACGGTAGCAAAATTACAGTTATGAAATAGATACGAAAAATAATCTTATGATTGGGGGTCACCATAAGATGAGGAACTGTATTGAAGGATCACAGCATTGGGAAGGTTGAGAACCACTGTTCTAGAATCTACAGGAATTGCTCTTAGTAGGTGCATTTCACAAGTGGACAAAAAGACCACAGAGATGCAACATAACTAACATAGTCACCTGCCCACAAAGTAGTATAGGAAGGACTAAAACCTAGGTCTGTCTTATTTGAAGGTTATTGTTTTTAGTTGATTTGATACACTAAATTGACTTGAGCAAGGCCAGGTTAGTACTGGGTTAGTACTTTGAGGTTTTGGATAAATACAGTAAAGGAAAACAGGACAAAAAGGTCATCATTAGCAGACTCTTCCTATGTGTAAAATGTTAAAGAAAGTAGGCAGCAGACATGGGTCCTAAATACCAAGTCACCACATAAATGAGCTCGGGAAATTTATTCAGTTTTCAAAGCACTGGGCTCCTCAGCAAATGAGCTTCAACTGTTCTCCAAACATAAGCTTATATCTGATGGTCTGAAGGCAGTGATATTGCTCCATTATCGGGAAGATAATGCAAAATTCCTCTTGTGGGAAAATTAAATTGGATTTTGTTCTTATGTCCTCTGGAGTTCCTACTTTCCAGATTTATGTTCATTTGCATTTACTTTTCATTTCTGGCTATAAAAAATTAGAAATACAACTTTGATTTAGGCTGGCCATGGGAGCCCACACCTGTAGTCATAGCACTTAGGAGCTAAAGGACAGAGGTTCCTAATTTCAAGGCCAGCTTGGACTACGTAGCCATACCCTGCTTTAAAAACATAAGCAAAACAAATACACAACTTTATATAGTGGACTATGATAATATATTATTAAGCAAAATCAATGCAGGCTCACCTTACTTTGAACATAGAGGCATTATAGTATTAATGATAATGAACATATGGGTGAATTTTTTCTAGTTGTTTTTAGTATGGTGCCTTTAATTGTTTCTGCAACAAAATGGACATCTGCTCTTTAGTTGATAATTTAAGTTCTAATTTTGACAGGGAAAATTCTACCTGAGTTTCATTATTTAAACTTAGAGAAATATCTACCTAAAAACTGAAGTCTGATTCAATTTCCACAAATGGCTATTGGTAATTAAAGATGTTTATTATTAACCTTTGAAAGTTAAAGGTATTTTAATGTGTGCCTAAGCACTCAGAAATACTGGGCAGATACATCTACATCTGTGGATAGATATTCATCTCAGCCTACCTAAACACATACATGTCTAGCTGCTACAGAGTCATCTTCAGATAGTAGCATACCTGAGAATATTCATTTTCTTCTTTGTGCTTCTGTGAATTATACCAATTTCATAAAATGAACACATATTACTTTCATAATAAAAATGTTATTTCTACAATATTACCAGATAATGTTATTTGCCAACCCTAAGCTACCTTGATATTTGTTATATTTTATTTACTTCAATAACTGTAAATGATGGTGAAGGTGAATGACATGTGCTGTCAGAATATCTAAATATCAGACACACTTACTAAACAGGGAAAATGCAATTTCTGAAGATTAACAGTATGAAACCATACTAAGGCAGTGACAATGAAGGGCCACCTGAAACCTGTCACAGCCATCTTGATGGCAGCTTACTATTAATAGCGAGACTAGCTAAGATCATTGTAAACAATGAGACTTAGGAATAAATGGAAAAGGGGAAGTGCTAGAATCCTAAAATTAGTTTTTCCCATAAAAGAGGCTCACATAACCACTGTTAACGATTTCTGAGTCTATAAATCCACTTGCATTAATACAGTTATTTTGCAGGCTGAATAGCCTTGCATAGAAATTAGTTCTGGGTGTGTGCAATTGACTCTCATTATTTACTTTGGTTATTTATAAATATAATCCATTTTCTAAAGAGTGTTTTTAAAACAATTTGTCAGGCAAAGAGTATGTCAAAATTCATTGAAAGGAAAAATAAAGGAATCCCACTCTTTCACTTAATAAAATTAAAAAATCATGGAAACAGTCTAGAAAAAGAACTAAAATTACCTGAGAGACTCAGTGGCTTTTTATAAAGATGAGAGATTTAAATTATAGCTTGTCAGCCTGAGATAATTCATACTGACCCAAATGAATAAGAACAAAATATCAAAAATTTGAAAAATATAGCAAAAGATATAAAAGAACATGCTATTTTTATCTGCCAGGAATTAAAAATTCTATCTGTTTTACAAAAGTGTATATATGTTAAGAATACCTTAAAAAATCAAATGTGCATGAAAACCTTATCAGTTAAATTTGGGGACTATTTTCCTGTTAACAGTCCAAGAAAACATAGGCTAGTTTCCCCCAAGAATGTCAATCATTTTCAAGGTTATAACTTCTGGGTATTTTTCCTAAGATTTAAATCATATTCAAGGTTATCAGTTTTCCAAAGATGAGGTTTTGTATATGTGTACCATAATGGATTTTTAGAGATTTAAATGAATTTAAAATGTGGTGTAAAAATTGGCTCATAAAGTTATAAATAAGAGTGGTTTGGGATTTTTTTTGAACTCTGGCTCTGGCTTTCTTGGAAGGCTGTTATGTTCTATCAAGGTATTCCCTTAGCCTTGCATTATTAAGGAAGCCGCTGACTGAACCACTATGGTGTTTTGGATTTTTACTGTCTATTTTTGAAGCTAATTCTCAGCTCTATTATTTCCAAGAAAAATGGGCATTAAAGAGTGTAGACAAGGATGCCCACAATAAGCAGATTATCTTCCCCTGTTAATTTTCCAGCTGACAATGCAGCATCCTCCCGGTGGGTGCTCAGATGAAAGAGGGGCGCTCCCACCTTTCCACCCACCCGCAGACCCTCCCAAAAGGGCTTCACAATGTGCATCGCTTCAAATGGAGAGCCACGGAAGGAAGACACAGCTATTCACTTTCCTAAAATGTCAAAACTGTAAATATTTCCAAATATACCCTGTGCCGAGGACCATGCGAGCTTCATTATTTTAAATTTCCCAGCAGCCCCATGAGATAAGTTGATGTCACCTCCCTTTGACAGGAAACTGAGACATACACTGATTAAGTCTACGCTGTTGAAAAGTGGTTACCCTGGATTTTACTGTCTCCAAAGTCAAGAGAATTTCTTCATATTCACTCTTTCAGGTTCTGTGGGTAAGAACATCTTGATTTTTTTAATGAACAAGAACCATGGATGCCCTTCTCTCTTTGCCTTGTAGACAGAGATTCTAATCCAGGAAGCTGGGGTTAAGACCCAAACATCTCCTGCTTCCTAAGCTTCAGAAACAATCCTTGTGCTCTGTAGGTGAGAAAAGCAGTTTCCCATCACATTTTCTTGCCTGACCTCTTGGCATGTGAGACGAATAATGCCTTTCGGGCTCTGCTCTCTCCCCATCCCTCTTGAGAACACATAACCACATCTCTCCCGTTGCAGAAAACTCGATAAAAGTTGGACCATTCCTTCATTGAGCAGTTATGAGTGTGGCTCACCCCCAATAGAAAACAAATGATGACAGCCATCCTTCTAACTCAACATGGCATCCATACAACACTTACCACTTCAATTATACTCTTAAGTGAGTGGAATGGGAGACAGTCCAGCCAGTGGAGGGCTTGCTGTCTAAGCATGAGGAGCTCTGCTCCATGGAAACCCTGCACCCAAGTAAAAAGCATGGCACTCTGGATAAATAAGCCCTCAGCACTGGAAAAGCAAAGACAGTCGGCTCCCTGAAGCCTCCTGGCCACTCAGCCTACCTTAATTGTTGAGCCTCAGTACCTAATGACAGACTGGGTCTCAAAAAAGGGTGGACTTACCAGTATTATCCAATAATCCATGACTTAAAGACTGTGTAAATGCATTTTATTTTAAATAAAAGCAAAACCTTTTGTTTAAAAAAAAAAAGGTGGACAGTGCCCGAGGAGGAAAATCCACTAGGTAGTTACCTGGTGTTCACACATATGCACATATCTGCACATTCACCTGTACACACACATGCTACACACACACACACACACACACATACACACGAGGTAAAATGATTTCATCAATGTTTCTTAAGAACATGCAAAAGAAACTACTTTTAAACCTTGTCCCTTCTCACCTGCATCAGATCCCTCTTCCAAGTGACAGATTACAGGGGTGTGACTCCTACCAAAGTGACAGTCTCTGAAGACGGCCTGTTGATGTCAAAGTGGTTCCTGCTGGACAGGAGAGGAGTTTGTAATGCAAGAAAATGATATTTAAATGGTAATCTCATATCATTGCAATATCCATTCTGCCTGCCATGAGGAAACAAAGAAACAGAAGCAATGGCAGCAGGGACAGAATATGAGCTGCCAGTGTGCCACACTGCAATCGGGATGCTGGGGAATGTGAGCTGCTCCTGTGCCACACTGCAATCGGGATCAGGATTTTCTGCTGGGTGCCCACTCCCAGATGCTCAGTCCTAAACAATACTGTACAGGATGTTTCAACCTAACTATTTTTTTCTGGGCCTGTTAGTATTTTCAACTGTTAAAATTGTGTGTGTGTGTTCATAGGTGTGCACATGTGAGTGGTGGGGTGTCAACCCCTAGTATTATTCCTCATGTGTCATCTACCCTGTTTGTTGTTATTTTTCATATAGTCTCTCACTGGCCTGGAAGTCACCAAGTAGGCCAAGCTGATTGGCCACTGAACTCCAGGGGGTCTGCATGTCTCATCTCCCCAGTACCAGGATTACAAGTGTGCACCGTCAAGTCTGGATTCTGAGGATTAGTCTCACACGTACAGCAAGCACTTCCCTGAGCTTGCTAATTTCCCCAGCCCATGGAAGGTCTTTCCATGACTCTGTCCATCCAGCTTCTTCCTTTGCACACAGTAAGAAGTCAGCTGCCTTTCAGTGTGGTCTGTTATCATTTTCTGTGTACCTTAAGGATAGTTTTCTTTGCTCACACACAGATTTTGGCCTGTTCCTGAAGGAAATTGGGGCAAGTTTAGAAAAAAAAACAAAAAGCAAACAAAACTATTTCCAACTTATGGTTTTAAAACAATATCCCACTGAGATTTTAACACATTATGGTTTTAGTGAAAATCCAATATTTTTTCTAGTCAATGGGAGTGTGGTGGTTTGAAATAAAATGGCCCCCAAAGAGATGGCACTATTAGGAGGTGTGCCCTTGTTGGAGTAGGTATGGCCTGGTTGGAGGAAGTGTGTCACCGTTGGGGTGGGCTTTGAGGTCTCTTCTGCTCAAGCTATGCCTGGTGTCACAGTTCACTACTGTTGTCTTCAGGTCAAGAGGCAGAGCTCTCAACTCCTTCTCCAGCACAAGTTTGCCTGCATGCCTGCCATGTTTCCCACCATGAAGATAATGGACCAAACTGTAAGTCAGACCTAATTAAACATTTTCCTTTACAAAAGTTTGCCCTGGTCATGGTGTCTCTTTACACACTGGAAGCTCTAACTGAGACAGGGAGGGTGTAGTGCTCAGCTGAATATGACCTGATGTGAAGCTTTTGCAGTCAGATTTATCCAGAATCCACTCTATCCTGCAAAACATATCCCCAAGCCGGGCGGTGGTGGCGCATGCCTTTAATCCCAGCACTCGGCCAGGCTGGACCGACAGCCTCCAAAACAATACAGAGAAACCCTGTCTTGTAAAACAAAAAAACAAACAAACAAACAAACAAAAAAACATGTCCCCAAACGACTTAAGATTCTCTTTACAGACTTGATGAATCTCCCATGTCCACTGACAGAAGAGCTAATCAGCAGCCGACTCAGAACCAAGAACATAATTTAAAGTCTTGTTTGTTTCTTCTCTCAGAATAGGCTCTTTTGTCTTTCACCCAAATGGTTTACTCAGCATAATATCTGAATAAATGTACTCGCTCATTGACCATGACATGGTGGAACCCACAGAGCATGTCTTTGGAGGAAGAGAGATGTGGAATGGGAGGGTGGGGGTTAGATTACATAATCATCATCAGATGCCTTGAACCAAAAGTGACCAAGCTTGTAAAGTCCTGCCATTCGCAAGCCCACACTGTCCCTTGTTATGGTGGTGATGCCTCATCAGAGTGTAGTGAGAGGTGACACCGAGGGACCCAAGTGCTGATCACAGTCCCCTGGGTTCACTCATATTTCTGCACAGAGACTCTGTCTGCCTTTCTTTCAGGTCATCATTGGAAGGGAGCTTCTTCTCTCCAGAACAGAGGGTAGGAATGTGTTTTGTATAATGTATAATGTTCAGGTTCCACAGCTTTGGGTCCCTCCAACACAGTGAACGTGAGACTCTCCTATGCTTCATGCCACCCTGATGGGATTGAGGCTCAGAGCTGGGGAACAAACAATGCTCACACTCTGTCTGCTACCACTGCTGTGATTAACAAAGACCTTCGTCTCTGGCCTGAAGAAAAATGTCTCCACCAGGAACCACGTAAGCAACAAGCTGATATGTCTGTTCATAGCAGCGTCAGAGTCTCTGCCTCTTTATAGAGCAACTCCTCAAGGCTTCTGGGAATAAACCATGGATGGAATTCTTTTCTCCTTTAAAAGAAAGATAAGAAGTGCTCTCACCTGTTTGGGAGTGCTGTTTGTTTGTTTGTTTATTCACAAAAAGACAGGGTAGGCTTTCTTGCTTTGGGTTCTGCGAGGTTTCTTGCTTTGGTTAGGAATCTGAAATCCCACATGTCAGACATATGCTGTAATGAGTCTCATTTATTATAGTATTTGTCAATGAAAGCCAGGAAAAGACCAATGAGATACAAACATGCTTAGACAGATAACTCAATACAACAATAAAGAGATTTTACTGCCACTGTAATAATACCTCATACAATGCATACTTATTTTTATTAATACTTAAAAGCAGAAAAAAGCCCTGGAGAGATGGTTCATATGGAAAAGTGCTTGCTGTGTGAGCCTGAGGACCTGAGTTCAAATCTGTAGCTCCCATGTAGAAAGTTTAATATGGAGGCACTCCTTAGGGAAGCAGAGATGGAAGGATCCTGGGGGCTTGGTGGACATCCATACTAGCAGAATCAGTTTCACCACGTTCAGTAAAAGGGCCCGTTTCAAAACGGATGATGGAGAGGATGACATCTGATACTGACCTCAGTCTCCCTCTCCCTCTCCCTCTCTCCTTCTCCCTCTCCCTCTCTCTTACACACACACACACACACACACACACACACACACACACACACACACACACGGAAATCAACCTGGGTTGCGTCTTTAAGAGACAGTCTTTGCACTGGAGCTGACTGTGCAGGTCTGCAGTCCTGGAACTAGATAGAAGTTCAGCAGGATGATGAAGAGTTTGGGGAAGGATCTGAGGGCAGTGTGGGTTACAAAAAGTTTGAACTCCATGGTGAGTTTGAAGCCAGTTTGAGCTACACAGTAGGACAACCCATACCTCTACACCCACAGAGAGAGAGAGAGAGAGAGAGAGAGAGAGAGAGAGAGAGAGAGAGAGAGAGAGAGAGAGAGAGAACAGATATAAAGACAGCAAGTTTCAGCTCTAAGAGGTGATAGTCAATCTTGTCTTAACTTGACTGAGTTATAAGATATTTGGCCCCAAATATCTGGTCATGTATTACTGAGTGTATCTATGAGACTGAGTGTATCTTTGAGGGTGTTTCTGGAAGAGTTCAGCACTTTTATCACTATCCTGTGTGTCTATATGCACACGATGTAGGTGTGTGGCACATGTGCCGAGTGCGTGTTTGGAGATTGGAGGACTACTCTGGGGAGTCAGTTCTCTCCTCCTATCTCTACTCAAATTCCAAGAATTTAGGACACATTTCCAGGCTTATGTGGCAAGAGCCTGTACCTGCCAAGCCATCTCATAGACATTTGAATTGGTGAACTGAATAAAGTAGGTGGCAGAGTGATACCATGCACTCCATCCAGGACCCAAATATCACACAAAAGCTGATGAGTTCATTCTCTCTGCCCATCCTTTTGTGGTCTTGGCTCACAGGCTTCCAAACTGAAAGCAAATCTCTACCCCAGTGTTTTTCTCGCACGCCTTCAACTACACCATTGGTTTTCCTGATGCTACCAGATTGCACAGTTCTCAGCCTCCACTGTCGTGTAAACTAATACCTTCTCTTTTGGCAGAGTGGTAGTGTTACAAGCCTTTAATCTAGCACTCGTTAGGCAGACACAGGCAAATCTCTGTGATTTCAAGACCAGCCTGCCTGGTCTACAGAGCAAGTTCCAGGACAGCCAGGGCTACACAGAGATATCCTGTCTCTAAAAACCTGATGTAAAAGCAAATAAATAAGTTCTCTTTCTAGATTTTGTGTGTATAATAATATATAAGTGGTATGTGCCATAAATGGTGTACAGTATGCTTACACGGACACACATTTACCTAGCAATGGCTCTGCTTCTCAGGAGAACCCCGACTACTGTGGAGCCTGTAATGATGTCATGCATTTTGTGATACTTGACACATACTTTTACATATTGTTATGTTACTCTGCTTTTATAATATCTTTTGGAAATAATCAATGTGGTATTTTATTATTTGCAAATCAAAGAAATGAATCCATTTGTAAAATTATCTATAATTTAAATAATAAGCCAGTAGAATAATAGTTGGCCAGGTATAGTGGTATACACCTACACTTCCAACATTCTGGGGGCTGAGGCGGGAGGACTGGAAATTCAAGGCCTATAGCAAGTTCAAGGCTAGCCTGGGCTACATAAGATCCTGTCTCAAAAATTATTAATTAGACAATAGCAAAAAATAGCAATCAACTCTTTTCAGTCCATTTTGATTTACTGATAGTAACTGTCTGTGAAATCTTTGCAATCTTAAATTTATAGCACTCACTCAGATAATTCTGAAGACTGAAAATAACTATGCTTAAACACTAGCCAACGTAGAATCCTCTGGCATGGTTTTGCCCACAGACAGGCAGAGAATTGCACGGTTTGTTTATGTTGAATGCTCAGTTAGCTTGAAAAATGGCAGCCAGAGTTTCTTGGTGCTTAGTAACTCTTCTGCTTTATGAGAAGAGGTCAAAGGAAGAAGGGAAGTTCAAAACATTATTCTTTGCATCCAGCATAGTACCAGGAGCACAAGAGAGCCGCGTCTTGTTATTTCACTGGCAATAAATTTAAGTACTGGGTATTTTACAGGAGCAGGCATTGGGGAGCATGCTCCCTATCTGAAATCATCTGTTGGTGATGGCTTTTCTCCTT